CAGAACTGGTTGGGATAAAAAAGTAAATTAGTTCTGTTGACATTCGTCAACATAATTGTATCTGATTTGTGTGTAAAACATATCAAGTTTAAATTATCTTACCTTGCACGGTTCGACTACTTATCTTCAATGAAAAGATTTTAAACCTAAGAGAATACCACTTTACCAATCAGCTGCACATAAAACAGCATTTACCTAATTGTAGATTTTTATTTCTGGCTAAATCCTTTTGAAAAATTTGAACATTTTCTAGCTATGGAATAAAATACGACTATGGAAGCATCATGCACTACAATGCCTACACAGGAGCTGTTAATATTGCCAAACCTACGATGATACCAAAGGTACTATTAAAATCTTCTTCTTGCATAAAATGAGAAAAAAAATAAAATTTTTCATTTTTCAGGTAAATCAAGAGCAGAATCTTGCCCTCTTGGGTCAAAGAGATGGTATGAGCGCTGCCGATATTGCAATATTGAATAAAATGTATTGCATACCCAGTAAGCCTTACTATCTGTAAAATTTTCTTAAGTTTTGAAGGCAAAAGCGTTTTTTTTTCCTGCAGACTGTGATGACACGAACGTCTATTGCGGAGCTTGGGCGTTGAAAGAATTGTGCAATCATCCAAATCACAAAGGATGGATGATAAAAAATTGTCGAAAAAGCTGTGATTTCTGTACTTCTGGTCAATAATAATAATATTAATAAATTATCTTTTCTAAATGCTTCAATACTGAAAACCAGTGCTTTAAACGAAATCTGAAATGAAGAAAAAACATTTAATGCAATTCCTCAGCAATTTTTAAAATGGGGTACTTTTGGTATGATTTGAAAAGAACAAAATGATTATGAGCGATACTGGACGAGCTCCAAGAATGGCAAACTAGGAATTTAAAGTTAATTCCTGAACTTTATAAAGACTATAACTAATCTTATCTCTCCACTTCTTTCTTAAATTAACAGAATGAAGGAATTTACAGCACAGCTGATCAAATCAGTGTAACCCGTTAGTCTCTTCTGCATATTATCTGCTTTCTGATCTCATATGCTAAATAAGATTGTTGTGAAATTTATTTCAAAACAGATGTTCTTGATCCCAAACAGGATGCACCGCCTTATATTT